CGTATGAATTAGTACGAATTAGCCACCTCTTAATCACTCGTACGAATTGGTTGTGAGATAGCGTTGGTTGTGCAGCTTCAGATTTGTGTATAAATTAAATGTATCCTTGCTTAATTAAAAGTATTAAAGTCATCATGAAACGGAAGTTGCGCAAGTCTTTTCTTCTCTATTGTGAAGTATATCTGAGTGAAACGTCTTCTGGAACATGTAGGGCGGGACTTGATTTTGTCCATGTGGAATTTATTGGATGCTTGAATGGTTGTGGTTTGCTATTGGTGGATCTCATGTGAGTGACAGGTTGCCCCGCCCACGTCACCAGAGAAGAGAAGAGGGAGGGGGGAGTTATTTTGCTGAAAGATTATGAGGCACATTTAAAAGAAAAGATCTGCACCGATTAAACATTTATAATAAATACTGCAATTTTCCATTAAAAAAAATGTCCATTTTACTTGCTGACCCCAAATTTTTTAACAGTGTTTTGGATGAAATACATTATTTCCCAGAAGGCATTCCTTTCTCTTCCAATTCCAATTTAACTTCCACTGTGGTGTGGCCAATTGACTTCAAATTCACACTCATGATTTAAAAGGAAACCCTGGAACGATCCATAGCTGTTAAATCAATTTAAATAAACAACTTTATTACATTATTAATCTAATCTAATTTATTCTGAACTGATCATTAGATTAAATGAACCCAGTGTTGGTGATTAGCGACGGGGATTTGCCCGGAAATCCCATCCACAAAAGAGTCCGAACTGGATTGGGCCCTACGTGTTTAGGAGGACCGGCAGCGTGTCTATCCGGTCAGCCCTCTGAAGTGTGCAGTGGAGAGCAGGAGTAGTGAATGGATAAAGTTCAGAATGGGAGGAAAGAACACAGTGGGCTTTGTTGCGGTAGAGCGAGAGGAAAACCTTGGACCATGCCTGCGGAGGAGAAGAGTGTCCCGCTCCCTCGTCCGCCTCGGTCCCGGCTGAGGAGAAGCAGATGTGGGAGCCTGTGGCCAGTCGATCAGAAGCGAGGGAGGGGGGGGAGAGGATGTGGTGAAGGCATTGCTGAGGCTGCGAAACCACACACACGCACACAATCGTGTTGGAGATCTGTTGTTCCCTCCTTTTTTGGATGTTTCTTTTATTTAAATGACCGTTTGACTCTCATCTTCATGATGGCACATTTCCTGTGCCGGGTTTTCCCTACGACTGACTGGAATTTCTTATCTTGATCTAAAATGTCTTATCGCCAATACCTGTCTGCATTCGTATTAGGGGTGGGCGATCATGATATAGGCCATGAGATGGGACCCCAAATTTGGGCTACCGGTACCATTTTGAGGGATTAAATTTCTTTTTGATTTTCATGAAGGTACACATCTCTAGTGTTGGAAAATGTGTGATAGCATCCGATCCATGGTAGCTTTCATTAGAAATCAACACTTATATCATCCTACCTCAAGGTAAGGTGTTCAGTGACTACAAGAGAGAAAAATGTATCCTTTTATAATTTTAAAAATGTATAAAAAAAAAATTTAAATTTTTTTTTATAAAATTTCATAAAATTTTATAACATTTTAAATGTATTTAAAGTAGGGCTGTCAAATGATTAATCGTGATTAATCACATCCAAAATAAAAGTTTTTTTTACATAATATATGTGGGTGCATTGTGTATAATTATTTTATATATATAAATACACACACATGCTTGTATATGTTTAAGAAATATTTTCATGTATATACTGTATATAGATTTATATATAATTTATATTATATATAAATATAAATATTTTATATATAAATTGTTTTTTTCTTAAATATACATGCATGTGTGTGTATTTATATATATATACAAAATAATTATACACAGTGCACCCACATATATTATGTAAAAAAGACTTTTATTTTGGATGTGATTAATCACGATTAATCATTTGACAGCCCTAATTTAAAGATAAACAAATTCATTTATCCTTTTTCTTGACATATGTTTGAAAATCGTCCTCCGTAACCAAAAACTACCTTGAATCTAATGCTATCACACATTTTTCAAATACAGGGTCATATACCTACACAAAAATCACCATGCGGTTTAATCCCTTAAAATGGTACCAATCAACCCTCTGTCTCACGGCCTAATATGAATAATTTTATTTCACGATAACAATATATATCACAATAGTTATTTTTGCTTTAAACAAAGTTTTTATGATATAGAACATTTAATTGAAATTTCATAAATCTCGTTACCAATTAAAAAAAGATAACAAATACTAGCCCAACTAACAATTTAAAAAAACTCAAGCTCACTAAAGACAAGTAAACAGTCAGTGATAATATAGGGATGTTTTTTTTGTTTTGTTTTTTACAATCAATAGGACAAAAAAACTACATAAATAGATAGATAGACCTACCATAAAAACTTTACGCACTAGAAATAAAAAACTACAAGAGCAAATCATGTTTATCAGGCTGCTGTCACTTTAAGAGTGAATACTGATCTAATATACTGTTAGACATGCACTTTCTTTTTCAACCATTAGGTTGTTCACTTAAAACATAAAGACTGTGTTTATGAGGTACTTGCAATTTTACATATAAGTGTGTGTGATTGACTGTTCAGGTTCAGAACTCACACACTGTATGAGCGCGCGTTTCAGGTGTGTGCACTCAAAAACAGTCTGTCAGACAGAGCGCACATTTACCGAAATGAGTCCTCTTTCGCTACTTATAGCGCTTAAACAGTTTAAAACGTTTTAGTCTTTACTTTTACTCTTTTTACTTCTAAACAAAGAACGAAAAAGAACCACTGTGAGTATATCGGGGCCTTCAAGTTGAGACTTTTTCATAGTCGCCTCCTCCTGAGAAACAATAATCTTATTTAATTTCAACCATTCTTAACCAAATAATCTGAGTCATCCACATTAATTGTATAACTCTATACTTTCATTTGTCTTGTTTTTGCCTATTATTAATTTTCCAAAATAACTTTATTAATTACTATATTAATATTTTTCTGAGACTGTGAAATAGCGAAAAATACAGTGGCATTTGATAACCAAGCCTTTTTAAAACAATAAAACGCGGCCCAAAAAATATTTGGAGTAGGCTATTAAAAATAATACATTTTGGAATTTAAAAAACGAATTCCCAAAAAAGCACAAGCACACTTTTCAAGCAAAGGCATTAATTGACTTTTAAATTGTAAAGCAATAGATATACTGTTGAACACACAGAAAAATCTGCTAGGACGTCAGTGTGAGCTTGAGGAGATCTGACTTTATACAGTACATCCACTAAAACACTAGTTGATTGAAAGTCATTGCAAAACTGACTCCGAAAAGTGAAGTTAGTTCATGCCGCATTTGTTTGCCGATGCCACTTTTATATTTTGTTATCCGTTCATAAAGTTTTAAGTGCATCTTCAGCATTCAAATACTTATTAGGCTCACTATATTTATGGCTGACACTCCAGAAATGACACTTTTAATCCTCAGGCTGTCTCATGCTCGTCTTTGTCACATCAGAAGCACACTGAAATCAAAGAGAACATGTGGAAATGGTTGTGTACTGTATAGCCTGACTAGAGACCGAATCGTACTAGAAAGAAAGTGATTTCGCGTCCTCGCTCGGGCTTCTGTTGTCCAAGCTCTCCATGGCGTCTGTCATCTGTTGCATGTCTTTCTCCAGTCCGTCTGAAGAACGAGACTTTCCTAAGTGCCATTAATAACAAGCGACAGGCCTCGCCTCCGGTCGACACGCACCGTCTCTGTTTTGAAAACCGCACGTCTTTTGTGCGAGGCCCTTGAAGACATGTGAAAAAGCTCTGGATGTTGGAGGTTAAGCAATCAAGACACATTTATGGGATGCGTTTGGCTTCAGCGCTCGTGGGGAATGTGACCTGTAGCTGCGTAGGAGACGCGACGAGACGTGTGAAGTGTGTAGGTGTACGTCCCTTATTGCATAAAACAATGTATGAATGTTAATGTCTCTTTCCCTTTTTCATGGAACGAGCATCGCTTAAATTGACGTAGAATCACGGGGGAGGAAAAACGATTAGTTTCAGTGAAATAAACTGGTTGCAAGAAGAAAAGAGAAGCCAGAACAGGGAAGGATATGCTACTAATGCTTAATGATAGCAGTATCTGAAGGTTTTGAGGAAGTGACTCACCCAGATGACCTACTCATCCATTTTGACATCATCTTTCTGTAAATGCCACATTTGGATATGTCGGCTGTGTTTATATTCCACAGTGATTGTAAGTCAGTAGCCTTATGGACTTTCCTGCAGGTTTGACGTGTACGAGTAAAAGCTTTTAGCCATTTCCTCAAAGGCCCCTCCTACACTTCACTTAGTTGTCTTTGTTTAAAATTCATTGTAAATGTTTTGCATTCTGACTATCATGCTGTTTAACAGGGGGTAAATTGAGCCACAACGAAGTTCTGCCACATTCCAGCTCCATTTCACTTATTTTATGCCAGGAGTTTTCAAACTTATAATTAAAAAAAAAAAAAAAATCGGAATTAATTTTTTTAGGGCTGTCATCCCCATGTTTATTGGTATGCCTAGTTTAAATCTTCATACAGTCTTGTATTAAATAATAATATGGACTACATATACAGTTTCCATATTGATGAGCAGCAAATCATCATTTTAGAGTGATTTCTGAAGGATCATGTGACACTGAAGACTGGAGTAATGATGCTGAAAATTCAGTTTTGATCACAGGAATAAAGTACATTTTAAAATATATTCTCATGGAAAAGTTTTAAATTGGAATAATATTTCACAATATTACTGTTTTTACTGTACTCAAATAAATGCAGCTTTGTGAGCAGAAGAGACTTCTTTCAAAAACGTTGCACAATCCTCAAACCCCCGAACTTTTGAACAGTGGTGTCTATTTATTGTGTTGCATTCTTGGAGATCATTATATTTGGAGGGTTTTGGTATAAAAAAGTAACCATTTTTTATTTTTTTACTTGATGTGTTGTTCCTTCCCACACAGGCCCTGCTGTGCGCTTCAGTAGTTTCGAGCCCCGCAGCCCGGTTCCTCCCCCTGTGATCGGCCAGCACACGGTCCAGGTTCTCCGAGACACCCTTGGGTACAGCGATGATGTCATCGCCCGACTGCTAGCCTCACGGGCCGTCACTCAGCACGCGGTGCAGGGAGAGGCGTCTCGTTGAGCGGGAGAACTCCTCGGGCTGGGATCAAAAATTTCGGAACAATCCTGCCAAAGAAAAATACTGCCTTCCTTCTCGGCTCAGTGGAAATAATGCTTGTGATTAAACTGATGAAGGTCCATCAGAGAGGAAACTGCAAATGTAAAAATAATGACATAACGACGCATTCAGTTCACACGTAAGATTGTGCGCAAATGACTTCCTTCTTTAAATGATCAATAACGTGCAGATATCAGTACTGCGTGTTCAGGATAATAGTACTGTACCTACTACTCTCGAAAACTCAGGCCATATTTAACCCAAAAATCAAAAGGAATACATATTGTGTGAAATGATTGCATAAATGCATTTGTTTAAAATTGAAGGCCATTATGATCTGCTTTTTTTTTTTTTCATTGTGACATCATTCTGATGTCATCGGCACCACCCGATTCTCAGCATTAGCAAGAAATAAAAAAAAAAATTAAAGTGTACGGTACAATTTTAAGTATATATCACGGTAAGCATTTGTACAGAATAGCAAAGAATTTGTGAAAATGTGGTAAACTCCCATGAAAAATAAGTTTGTTTTTATCATGAGGTGAAACATTTATTGATGAGATTCCGTTACTGTAATAATTATTCAGCAATCTTTTCATACGCTCAACAACTTGCAATGTAAAAAAAATATGCTGCAACAAAACATTTGAGATCATTTCATGAAACGGCACCTTTTCCAATTTGATAAGGTGATTTTATTTTTATTTTAGAGACAAAGAAGACAACAAGCAAACTAAATCTCATTGCTTTACAGCATCTTAAATCTTGGGCCCTCTGGAAAGGTTGGTCTTTTGAATAATGCAACATATAACGAAGTAAATTTTCCATGTTCAATAAAATCACAATGTGTCTCATCTGTGGCTCAGTGAATCTGAAAGGATCCAGAAGTGCCATTATCTTCCATCGAGGATGTTGTTCCCGTTCATTGGCCGTCGTGAGCCGCCGCCGCAGGTGTGAGTTCAAGGCACGAGGTCACTTCAGTCCTATCAAGGCTCTTAGCTCTGGACTGATGCGTGGTGGAGTTGTTTAGCTGAGCAGAGGAATAAGCATTTCTGATGTCTAACTGCCAAATCTTTCATGTCCGATTTCCTGCGACTTGGGACACTGACTCATAGCAGAACAACGCAATGAGAGTGAACGCAGAGGAGAAGGTTCAACATAGTCGGCATGAAATGAAAATTCACCCAGTGTATTTTCAAAATGCATCTTACAGTGAACGATTCATCCGTGCAAGTTTAATTTTTTAACCTTGATTTCCTCAATCATTTAGACCGCCTAAACCCCACCTCTTTATTTAACCGACTGCAAGCTCACATTCAGATCTACTTCCATCTCTGTTGTCACAATATTGAAGAAAAATCTGTCGCTACTTGAGTTTCATCGCAACTTTAATGTATAGATCAGAATTCTGAGCCCTTTGAGTGTTTAGCAGTCTTAAGCCCTATTCGCACGGGATTAGTATTATCTGGGGACCTCGTGTGATTTAAAAATTACCCCCTCACATCTGAAGTCCGTGTGGCGCATTCGCACGGGATAACCGAAGCCTGTGATTTTACTCGAATTTACTGACTTATCTCCAGGATATGACGTCAATAGGCTTGGAAATTTCTTTTCGTTATAGGTCTAGCTGTATGATATATTATGACATAAACAGAATAAGTTCCTTACCGCATGCTGCTATACATGTCATTCATCTCCATCTAATCATTCGTTTTGTTTTTGCTCTTCTGATGATTTTCAGCTTTCACTTTCTGCAAATTGTGTAGTTGCGATATGACCCAGCACCCAAAATACTATCAAAACACTCCAAACCAGCCTCCATTCTTCGTGAAAGATTGATAAAAAGGCGCACATGAAACAAAAACCTTGAAAAAATTATATGCGATCCGGCCAATTCACAGAGATGCCGATTTGCGCGGGACTAATATTATCACGACCTCTGTGTTCGGCGAAATATAGTAGGTAATTTGCGGGGGAATTTTTACTTTACAAATTACAGACATGGCCGATTCGCACGGGATTAAGATCACAGACAAACTCCGCAATTATTACAAATTACTATATGTCACCAGATAATACTAATCCCGTGCGAATAGGGCTTTAGGGCCAGATTTACTAACAGCTTGCGTCAGTGAAAACCCAATTTTGCCGTTAAAAAAACGACTAATTACTGAAGACACAGTGAAAAATTAGCGCTGAAAAGGCACGGACATGGTTATTTTTGCGGCTGACCTTATTGCATATGCATTTGTAGGAGTTTCCCTTTCAGACGCAAAATTGATAGTACCGGTAGTATTTAAATGAATCACGCAAGGTGATTTACTAAGGTTTGCTCTAGTCAATGTACTGGTGTTTGCTCCATTATTTAACACTCAAAAAGCATGTCTTAAACCAGACGCTAATCTGCGCCGCTCTTGTTAGATTGTGTTGGTCATTGTGGAAATGATCCGGCTGTGTTTGTGTTCTTTAATGTGCGCATCGTCAGTAGATCATGTGCAAACCTTTCCACTCCCATCGGCGCTGTTTTGGAATTGCGCTCTCACGCTAATTTGCCCTGTTTAGTAAATCTGGCCCTTAGACTGAAACGAACTATAACAGTCAATGCTACTAACTTAACCACATTCAGTACCGTGACAGTTGTGCTCAACTGTTTTTAAACAGTACTAGCGTCTTGTAGTTTATCAGGTGTATTCAAGTTCAAAATGGTCACCCTATTTAAGACGCATTCAGCAAAAAAGCTAACAAAAAATGTGTTTTTTAGCTAGAGAAATATATTTCACATTAAATGATTATTTTTCAAGCTTTTAGAGTCTGATTGTGTCTGAAGATTCTGAATCTGAAGATTGTGGAACCTGTCAGCTGGTTGCGCACAGAGAATCTCAACAGATGCAGTCCGTAACGTCACCTAACACTTTCTGTCTCCTGTTTCATAAATCCTACTCGGGCAGGTACGCGGTTTCGGGGTGCAGGGAGGGAATGTGTTTTTGATGGCGATGTTTTGCTCAGGTTGGAAAGCATTGAGGTCCTGAGCCTCGTTCTGACGGCATGTTGAGAAAGCTGCCCGGCTCAGTCCAGAGTTAAAGAGAGTTTTCCTGAATGAGTCATCTGTTTATACTGTTCCAGTTCATTTCACCCGAGACTTTTTTAAATAAGTCCCTTGGATGATATAACGCTCAAATCATAATCTGCACAAGGTCGTGTACTCAGCCCTAAGGTCCTTCCATTTAGTTAGAACGGACAATTAAGACTCAAACCAATAACCTTTTGCTGACATAATAATGGTGTGATCAAATCCCAGAGTGTCTATGAAGAAACAGATGTCAGCTCTCCAAGGCTTCGCTGGGGTAGACTTTCCAGCTTAAGTTGGCAGTCTTAATGACAGCCACGGAGAGTGTCGGTAATGGTAAAGGTCAGAACTTGGCAAAGGTCAGCCATCTTCCAACGGCGTCCCTGTAGAGCCCTGGAAAAACTCGGAACGAGTTTGTCTTTTAGAAGTGTAGCATCACGAAGAGGCCAATTACTCCCCGTGAAGGCGGGTGGAGGTGTGAAGGTTACGATAACCGTACTCAATCTCTTCTGCTATCGCCACGAAACCGTTGTTTGTTTATGTTTGACGTCGCTCTGCACGGCGAATCTCAGGATGCCCGGATATGAAGTCCAGGGAGAGCTCTGGGAAGTGCTTTCCTGTTTTCAGTTTGTGTTCCGCTGACACGTTCGGAGAAGGAAACGGGTTATCCAGCCCGGCCAGCTGCACATGACATTAGCCTCCTCCTGCATCCCACGCTGCACCTCTCTGTCCTCAGCCAATGGGAGGAACCCATGCCGCCGTCACTTCCAGTTTTGCGTGTGTAGGCCGTTGCCATGCCGACTGATGGTTTCCGGAGCAACCGGCGAGCAATGAAATGAACTAAGCAGACCTGGAGTGAACCTGTGGTTTTAGAGATGGGGAAAAAGTAAAGGAGAACAAAGAAATTGAAGAGAAGGATTGGAAAACCATCTGCACTGCAGCCTGGAGCAGGCGTGAAGTTGACTTTGTGCCTTGGTAGAACTTGCTGCCATGATATTGGAGTTGGCATGATTTTGTGGTGCCCAGATTTGGCTAGAGTCAGAAGATCGTCTCACTGTAAAAAAGTGTTCAGTTTACTTACTTACACAAAACACAAACTTAATGCTTAATTGAAAAAATTAAGTTATGTGAACTTGACATTTCCACATAACTTATTTTTTTCGATTAAGCATGCATTTTTATTTACTTAAAAAAATGTAGGAAACCTGTTGCCTTAAAATTATTAAGTTATCTCAACTGATCACTTTTTGGGTTTCTCAAATCTGGCCTGCAGAGTTTAGCTCAAACCCTTGTGCTGTAATTACTCTAGATCAAGATTGTCCTCATGAAAGCCTTCACCTCTCATTTGCACAAATTCAGAAATCTCTCACCTCCAATCCCCTCCCCTCCACTGACGTTGATGCATACCATTGATACGCTCCTTGGTCCAAGGCAGAATTGATGTTTTTACTAGACTCCATAGATAGCAGCAATATTAAAACCGTATTGAGGAAGCCTGAAAGACACAAAATCACTACAATAATATTTTTGTTTTTAAACGTCAAATGGTCTATGAATCCTACAGCCTTTAATCTCATGAGAGAAAGTGAGTGTGAGAATGTGAGTAACCTTGAGGATCAGAAGATGATGAGTGTCTGGTGGGAGTGTGTCTGTGTGTGATTTCAAATGAAGAGTGTGGGAGTGCTGAGAGGAAATAGCTGTGGTCGAACTCTGATGACAATCTCACACACGGCAGAAGATTTTTGGAAAAGTCCATTCTTTATTCGAGAGTAAAAGTTTTTAAAGTTTTTAAAATAATTTAAATAATACATATATATTATTTTTCTATCTACCCATTTCTCTATAGAAAAATAATATACTGAATATTTTTTAAGAATTTAAATGTGTGTGTGTGTGT